CGTTAACGTCGTCCTCGGTGACGCCGCCGCTCTCCGCGCGCCGCTGCTGCACCGTCACGTAGCGCCGCACCAGGTTGCGCATGATGCCCTGCGACACCACACACCGTACTACCTAAAGGTCTACATCGCTTTCTTCCACTGACCCGGATTTATTTTAAATTACTTGAGTGTCATTCAATATTCATCCCCGCCGAGTTATGGGGCAGCAGAGTATTTTTTTATTCCGTAGCTCTATTTGAATACATGCAACAATATCGAATAGTAAAAGTAAACTTTAAGCTTATCGTTTTATTTTTTGTGAGTCCGCGGATAGTCCGCTGGTGCGCGTCGTGAGCGCGTCTCATTGGAGTTCCCACAGAGACTTGCACTAAGAATCACTATGAGTATGATTAGGTGAATTTTTAATCGACGAATATTAAAAATACCTGACTAGTTTACAAACCTGGTATCGAAAATCTCGTTCATTCGCCTGCTTGGCTTTCCTCTGAAATCAAATACATTTGTATGCAGTGAGGTATTAGAAAGATGTCGCTCGAGTGGCGCAGCGCATTTTTATCCAGCCCGCCGGCAAACTAGCAATCAATTAAGTGATATCGCTAACAGAACAATTGAAAACGAATGGCAATGACAACAATTTGCCATACGTTACGAGCTTGTCAGTTTTCTAAAGAAGAAGCGGGATCTGCCGGTTAAATTGCGAATATCGGCAATAGAAGGCCGGCCGCTGCTCACCCGGATGGTGCGCATGTGCTCGCGCTTGGCGCGCGCGTGGCCGCACAGCCGGCGCTGCAGCCAGCGCCAGGCGTACAGCGCAGACTTGGGCGAGGGGACCACGTTGAAGGGCGGCGGCGCCGTGCCGCCCTCCTCGAAGTAGCTGATCCATAGCTTGCTGCGCGCGAACTTCCACTCCACGTCGGCGCGCTCCTGCGCACACACCACAACACCGCTTTTAACTTAATTAAGATATCGTCGCGCCTCATTTGCTTTGCATTTATGTGCTCTATCTATGGACAGGCGACAGCGCCTCCTGCCGGCGCACTCACCGAAATGAGCTGGTAGGAGTGGTTCATCATGGCGATGAGCAGGTTGAGCAGCACGATGACCTGAATGACGGCGTACGTGCCGAACATGAGCATGCCCCAGAAGCGCGTAAAGATCTTGATGCCGTCCAACTCGAAGGAGTCCAGGTCCACTAGTCCGAACGCCGCCCAGAACAGCGTCTGCATCGTCTCGAACAGACTGCGCCATAAGCCTTAGGGTTAATTAATTCTCTCCATCCCTAAACACTACTTTATACTATGTACCTACACGAGCGAATGTTACCTTCTGCTAATTAGTGTCCTTCTTATTTTAATGGGATCAAGATTTAATTTACAATTACACAGTTTGGGTGTACTGATGGGCAGATTGGCTCACCGATCGATCGAGCCAATGTGAATTTTTATATATGTCGGAATGACGCGCACAAGTTACTTCCGAAGGTATATCCTAGAATTCTAGTCGATGTAACATTTGTCCTCAATAGTGGGCATGCGTATCTCGGTATGCGTAATGAAATAATAATCGCGTTATACAGTCCTCTTTTATATAATAAAAGGGGGATAACGAGCGGCGTGAATACAAAGGTGGTCAACGACGCTCATGGAAATCCGCAACACCAAAGGAACTACAGATGCGTTGCCGGCCTTTGAGGAAATGATAGGCTCGCTTCTTGAAGGACCCTAAGTCGTATTGGTAACACTATCTAACTGGAGTGCAAAGATTTTCAGACATTAACCAATTGACTTATACGTGCGCATTATCAAATTGCAAACGCTCAATTTCAAATGTTACTTTGAAATGTCCAGTTATAAGTATAGCTCGTACCATTTCGCACGGTTATGACAATGCAAAGAAACGTACTTAGCGAACCGTCGCCACACGATGCATGCGTCGGGGTCGACGACGGTGCCGTTGGCCGCCGCGCCCACCGCAGAGCCCGTAGTGCACCGCTTCTTCTCCATTTCCGCGTAGTACCACAACAACTGATTTAAACCTAAAACAAACAACATTGAGTAAAATTTATTTTCCTTTCTTTGTTGCGCGAAAGAATTGTACTCTCGAAACGCTCACCGCAAGAAAACGCGAAGATAACGAGAATGTCCAAAACGAAAAATTTTAAAATGTCGAGCACCATGCGGCTGAGGGAGACCTGCAGCGGCCCGAGGTGTGGATTGACGCTGAATATATACACCAGCTTGAGGCTGCTGAAGATGTTAGCGGCCGAGAAGAGGCCCTCCGAGAGCAGCATGGGGTCCCACGCGTCCCACTTTTCCCGCGGCTGGTTCCACTGCAGCTCCCGCGCCATCTCGCGCCGGACCTGTCACACAGTCGCACCGCTCGGATCACTGCCGCGGGAAATCCTTTAGATCACCGAAAAAAAGCATGTATACCTGGAAATAGGAGACTACGCGGAGAGCGATCGTCGCCACGTACAGTGAGTTGGTGACGAAGTCAATGACGTTCCACATGTCGTGCACGTACTCGCGCAGCCCCATGTCCCACAGCTGCTTCACCTCGCTCCAGATCAGCCCTGCGCGTGTCACCAAAGCATGCGTCAAGTCGCCCAGCGGCGAGTCGACCAGTTTTAAATACCATCGGAGAGCGAGAAATTCATCTAACAGTTTTATTACAAATTTATAATCTCTCGAACGGACTCGAACTAGAACATTCATATAATAATCCTTAATGAAATAGATCCGGGTCATAGTAACAATTGATAAATAACGCACCGCTGACCCAGGCCAGTATGAGCCACTCGATGAGCGAGGGTAGCGAGCCGCGGCGCGACAGCGGCGCCGTGGGCGGCGCGCGAGGCGCAGCCCACAGCACCCCGCCCGCCGCCGTCTCGATCCGCTGCGATGCCAGGATCAGCAGGACTGCGGACAACAGACACGATCCCAACTGATACATCACCACCCAATCCTTGTTCATGCTTCATGCCTTAAGGAACATGGCCGTCAAATTAAGGACTCTGCATTTGTTCGAACAGATTAACCGAGATTATCTACCACGTATTCGGATCTCTCGAGTCGTTGTGTTTAGTTGTAATCACATAACATTCGATTGCCAAATCTATATCCATATCTATATCTATACTCTATACTGATATACTAAACAGAAAAGTCTGCGATAGCATATATCTATCTTTAACGGTTTTCTTACACTAATCACTTTTTTGTTTACAAAATGAATTAAAAACCGCACGCTATTTGCGGCGTTCTTTTATTGGTTTTATTAATCCTTATCCAAATAAATGCTCTAGTTATCAGGACACTTTAATGTAGAATAAAATTGTTCTTTACTGTATTTAAATTGGTCTAATGGTTTAGAAGATATCGCGAACACAAACAATAAGGGTAACCGAAAAATCAGCTTACAAGATACCGGGCTTAGGAATTTGGAATCTTGCATCGGTGGATTTCTGTTACTACGCAAATTACTTCTAAGTTAATATTTTTGGTATTAGGTTGAAAAAAGGGCGAACGTAAGCTTTGAACTTTCAAATTTCACGTGGACGAAGTCGCGGGCAAAAGCTATTAAGTAATAAATAATAATAAATAGGATATTTATTGCCACAAAAAAATACAAATGAAATCATACATAAAGTAGTATACCTTAGAGCTAGTAAGAAAAGAAAAAATGTGGCAAAAGATGGCCAGCTTAGCTAGTGCAGGGACGGCGCAGCTGTTTCTAATAATAATAAGGTTACAATTTTAGTTTTAAAAAGCTAGTAGAAGAGTGAGGCAGTAATAGAAGTAATGACATTGTGACTTTTGGTCTTATTTATTTTCAGAATTGATTGTGTCTCTGAAAAGAACCACTGCACTTATTGCAATTAAACGTGAATGCGATACAATATGGTTACAGATGGTGGGAGATCATTCCAAACCTTTGATGCTGAAAACATAAAACCACCTCTAAAGCCAACTGGTTTCCCAAAATAAAAAAAAAACACAAACGAATTGAATACCTCCTTCTTTTGGCAAGTCAGTCAACTAAAATTGCAGACTTGTCTTATTATAAGCAAGTTATCTCAGTAGATTGTCCACTCACAAAGGAACATGAAGTAGCTGGCGGAGTGGCATAGGAACTTGATGAAAGGCTTGCGCAGCGTGCGGCCGAGGGCCGAGTGTGGCGCGGCGATGTACGCCAGCGAGTAGAGCGGGAACATGGCGCCGATGCGTGTCATCTCCGCCGCCTGCAGCAGCATATTCTTGCGGCGGAAGCCCGGCACGCTCTCGTACCAGATGGAGGCCAGCAGCTGCTGCACGTTAGGGTGTGCCACGAACTGATGGACAATGAGGGGCATGAGCGAGAGTTATTTCATCGGTTGCAGGACGCAAGCGGCATGCAGCAGTTACCTTCTTCTGGCGCAGCTTGATAGCGAGCTTGAGGCGCGAAAGGCGCATGCGCTCGGGCGCACCGGGCTCGGGGAGCGCGGCGGGAGGCGCTCC